TAAAAATATAAATAACCACAAATAAATGATACAACAATACAAGCACATTTTCAAAATACAATATCATTTATTTCAAGTAAAGGGGCCATTTTTCAATATAAAATAGTTTCTGTACAGCTCACTGGATAACTGAACAGGAATTATATGGACTTAAAGAAGGTATGAGTTGAGTATCTGACATCTATTAGGTGTCTCTTAGGTGTTTCTAGATTTTCTTTCTCTATGTTTTAAATTATTCATTCATTTCCTTTCTGTGTTTTCTATGGATCATTTATGGAAAAAAAAAACAAGTGACTAGTTTGACTTCATGGTGCAAAGATAAAATGTGTAACTAACTACTCCTATGTATTGCATTTAGACTAAGCAACAAAAAGAGAATATACCAAAATACTCTGGACCAATGTACAAGTCCTTGGTATTTATTTAAATTAGACTCAAATCATGTAATCGCTCCACATACATAACTGTGTAGTGAAACGGTTACAATGGCCTTATGTGGAGTGTGAGCGTCATCAGCATTGTAGGACATATAAGAAAACATTTGATTAGATTATTTGATATTAGGAATATCAGTCCTGACAACAGCGCCAATGGACAAACTCTCAGATCATTTATAGCATCTCTCAGTCACATTTAAATTGTTTCCGACTCCTATTGGTGTCCAACTCTCTGTGAAGTAGGCCCTGTGCAGCTGAACAGCAGATGTCAGTAATGCCTCAGAACGGACCAATAGGATCTGACCTCTCTCAGAGATACATGCTGTAAGCATTTATCAGAGATTGTAGGAGATTATGCTAAATCAGATTACTGTACCCCAACCTGCCTATAAAAAGCAAGGTCATTATGAGCTTAGCCTCGTGTAATGTCACTCGTTTTATGAAATGTATGAGATCATATTAGGCAATATTTGTGTTGCCATTTTGCCTCTTTTTCTAATCTGATTTCTCCTCTGATCTCTCGCTAATACTGCGAGATAGTGCTACTTACTGTCCCTGCTCTGCCGACGGGAGGTGTATGGGTGTGTTTGTGAATCTCTGTATGCCTGTCTTTCTCTCTGTACGTGAATACAACCTCAGGTTAGTAAATGTGACTTTATAAAATAGTGGAGAGTGTAAATGCTAATAAAGGTTTCTTGGAGGCCCACATAAAGTACTCAATGTAGAAACAATTAGCTTAGACACACAGAAGGCTGATTTTTATTTATTCTTTTTCAAAAAAATAAACTAATGTTCCTCTGGAAAAAAAGAACACGGTTAATAATGGTCTCACTCATTACGATCATCATACTTGTCCTCGTTTGTCGTAGTTGGACTACTTTTTATTGATCACAGCTGAATCAGAGCTTATGCGGAAAACACATCGAGGTGTGGATTGTCTTGTTTCCTCTCTTCCCATCAAAGGGCTGAATGCAGACAATAAGCTTTCTCCCCTGGGTGGTCCGACGCGCTGCTAAAGAAGCTTCACAACACATGTGAAGCAGACAGGCAGGGGTGTATCCAGGGGCAACTAAATCTCACCAGTATTAACCTGGGCAGATGAGTCCCAGAGGAAACCCACACCCAGAACACTGCCTGATACACAAACACACACACACACACACACACACATACACACAGACACACAAGGGCAGTGTTTGCAACTCACCCTGTGTATCTACCACTGTTTGCAGGCAGTCAATAAATAAAATGAACACTAAATCAGGGTCTCTGATCCTCCACCAACATCAAATATTTCCTTAATGTACACCTAAAAATGTGAATGAATGAGTTTTGGTGGGTTTTGACTCTCACGCGCAAGCATGTGTGCCAACGCCCGTCCATACAGTACAGTAGTGTACAGTCACTATGGGGAAGGCATCCCTTGAAGGTGCACTAATGTGTGGTTATAGAGCTGACCATCCCACAGCAGAGGATTGTTCATACGGGATAGCAGGCCAGTTTCCTCCCACAGGTTTGCGGTTTACAGAACTGGCAGGAAATGCAATCAAACAAACAAACAATCGAGTGGAAATTCAAATTAATGAGACTTAGGATATACTGATGGGTAATTTTCATCTACATATGCTTCTTCAGTGTTATTTTTTTTTACTTTTTACACGAATGATAAAAATATACGTCCATATTTCAAGTTCAGTATGATACACGCTGGCTTTTACCCATTTAATATAAACTAAGCCACAACAGCGACTGCCCGTGTAAAATGTGAATGCAAAGAAACAACAGCAAAACAGATCTGGCACAAACAATACATCCCTAATGCTGGGCTACAGTAGACAGAACAGCAAACACTCTCAGGAGCGTTCTTCATCCAAATCATAGCTGATGATGCTTTTGTTTCCCCCCCCATCGGACCAAGGAAATACACACTTAGTGGTCCTGCGGGACCACAAAGTGTTCCATGTCTCCAAGAAACGCCTTAACCCACTGGGCATTAACCCCTCCTCTGAGCACTCTACCTAGACTACTGGTGATAATGATCAAGCCATCTCTGTGCTGCAGTGATGGTCCATCCACAAGCACTCAGCGCATGAAGTAAATCCCCATTGATTCCTTAGCTTGAACTAGAGCACATCAACATCAGTTCATAAACTATAAAGTATGTTATGTTATATAAGTTGTTACTAATAGATCAGTATAAATGTACAAACATACAAATATAATACGAATATAAATTTGACCATCAAGCTACTACTGTTTAGGGAAGATTGGTCCTGAATGTTCTACTAGTGTGATTTAGTATTTGCCGTCCTTTCGATTAATTTCTATCAATTATATCTTTTTTGTCTTTATTTTTACTATAAAGACAAAAAGATCAAATTTAGATTCTAAAAATCTTGAATATATTGACTGCAGATTCAGTGAAGTTGTGTTTTGGACATGCATGCTGGCAGGGATGTGCATGCTCTGCTGTAGTAAAATTTGTGGCGCAGCCTGTTTTGTTTTGCAAATGAGACAGTGTTATTAGCTTGAAGTAGCAGTTGTACTGACATGAAAGTCTAATATATTTCAGGAGTCCCCACACATGTTCATATCAGAGTAACAGAAACACTCTTTTGGCCATATATTCACTTTAGCAAGGTTTCATGTAGACACAATTATTTGGGATTTTAGTGGATATACTGTGTATGGAGAGATAATATTGGTAAAACACACGGGCATACTTCCTATATTTCTAAATATTTTAATTATTTTTTCCTGATAAATTATAGTTTAAATATCCCCAAGAACCTGTAGAGCTGTATTGGCCACAGTTTCAAAACCACTGGCATAAACAGGGCTTGGTGTGTAGAAAGGCTGTTGTTCTAACCTACTTTGGCATGAAAACGTCTCATTCTCTGCTCACATTTGATCTTAACTCTTCAAATGAACAAAGTTGTACAATTAAAAACAGTGTTTTGGTAGGTAAATGTACTCTAGGTGTGTTGGTGTTACCAAAAATGGCAGTATTTCCTGATCTGGTGGAGTGGTCGCCGACCCTTCGCTGTACGTTGTGACGCTGCCGTAACGTGGGGTTTCCCAGACCTGAGTGCAGGGTTACCGCGCCCATCTCTGCTGTTTGATGGCCGGAGGAAGAAGCGACTGAGATCCTGGCGTGAAGGAAGAAAAAAGAGGGACGACGACGGTGGGAAAGACAAGAAGGGATTTTTGCTTTGAGTTGGAATTTGCGTTGAAACGGAAGAACGCCTAAACGGGACTCTGACACGTCTATCTGGGTGAACACCGCCTTGTCTCTGCGCCTCTGTGCCGGTGTGTCTCCCCCCTCGGCGGGTCAAAAACTGGGTTCGGGGAGTGCCGCTCCTCGGTAGCTAAACTAGCTAAATCTGAGCGCCTGGGCGGAGAGAGGAGAGACAAGATTTAGCTGTTTCCAGTCAATGTGATATAAACAACGGATACCCTCGACTGAAAGCGGGTAAGGGTGTGTATTGTTATTTGAAATTGCGCTTCAGGAAATGCATTAAGTGTATGTGCAGTTGGCCAGCCTGTCGAGCAGGGAGGATGAAGGAAAGGGGTTAAACTGGGTTGAGCGGCTTCTCCGTTAGTTAGCTGCCGTTAGCTTGCTGCTAGCTAGTCGTTGCTGCCAATAGAGTGGGTGGGGGTCACTGTCGGAGAAACTTAACGCTAGCGTTGACCCAGGTGTCAACTGACCACAACAAAATTGAACTGCTTATCTATATCTATATGTTGTGGTTTTACCCAGCTGGTGGTTAATGGCCAGTGCTGATGTTAATGAGAAGGTTGGTTGGTGACAGCTCGGCAGGTTAGCCAGCACTCCTCTCCAACGTCCGGGTATCTTTCTCCCTCTCTTAACAAATCAGCGATCTAACTTCAACTGTATCAGCTTTGCTTTATTATCCATCCACCCGAGCGATACTCCAATGTGGGTTCAGCCAAGACGTAATATTGCTCCCAATTATCACCAACACTTGGGCTCTGTGTGTCGGCCCACATTTCCCCTCATCTTTGCTCTACGGATAGCTAGTGGTTACCTGGTAAGCGAATCGGTGGCCCATTTGCTGCTCTTGTTTATTGTTGACTAACCCTAGGCGAGCGGTTTGAGCTGATGGTGATTACGTAGTTGCAACTTATTACACTTGCATAACTCAAACAACCGCGAGCAGAGTTTGGATTTACTTCCACTCATGTTGAAAATGTGTAGCATCATGCAATTGACAACGAAGGGAGTCTAAAAATGGCTACTTCACCAACAGAATCACCACCACCACCACCACCCCCACTATCTGTAGCCAGCCCTCACAAGTTAGCCAGCAGTGGCCACAGCCGAGGTTTTCAGCCTGGTGTGGCTGATCTGGGTGTGTATGTCCCGAACATGGCAGCCAGAACAATTTGCCTGTATCCTCAGTGAATATGAACAGTGTTGTTGTTGAGTGTCGCTTTTTTTTTTTTGTTTTAATGTAAAACTCGTGTGTTGAAGCGTTAATATTAGCCTTGCAAAAGCATCAGATATTCACGTAATGCTGAATCTCCCGGCCGTGGACACTTCTTTGCCAGGCTGTGTTTAAACGGGCTCGTTGAACTAACAGCGTTTAATTCAGTGAATCGAAACCAAACCATCATGGATTAAAGCTCCTGTATGCCACAGCTATATGTTCACATTCCCACGTTTAGACTGCAGTCAGCCACTGATGGTGCCGAAAGGGAAATGGATAATTCGTTGCGTTAAATGCGTTAAAACGCTAGAAATGTGCATCTGTCACCAAATGGTAGCACAGCTGTAGGATCGCATGGGAAAATGACAATAAGCGCCGCTGTGGACCTGGTAGTGGCAATAGCCATTTTAGCTCCACGAGTGGTAAACCAGCTTCAGTCTCCCAACACACGGTTCGGCCTCAATTTGAACTGCTTCTTTTAATGATGTGAAAACGAGATTATCTAAGTGGATTTTGACAATCTGTTTATCTCGATCACGGGTAGGTTGCAGGGCAAGTTGTTAGCAGCTACAGTAACCATGCTCCCCCGGGCCGCGCTGCTCTGTAGTATTTCGAGCTGTAACATGGAGAACGGTACGCCTGGTCCACGGTGAAGCATTCAATCCTAGTCAGCACACCGGCATAAGGTGTTCAAGTTGAAGAGAGCAGATCGGAGATTATTTAGTGGTAAATATTTCGAAAGATGGTTTAGCAACTAGTCAGACGGGCTGTCGCAGGAAGCCGAGCTGAGCGCCGAGGCAAGATCCGTGAAGCCTACCGCCTCGACGAAGTTATTGACCAGCAGTGTGAAGAAATGGCATGGAGAGATTACGGTGCTGAAAATAGCCGACTTCTAGTGGTTTTATTAAATTGTCGGTGTTTCTTAAAAGAGCTATTTGTATTAACCGGTTCACAAAGATGAATTCATTTTGCCAGTGTGCCCCCTCCCTCCCTCCCTCCGCCTCCTCGAATGAATGGGTTCCTGTATTCAGGGCCCAAGCAGCTGCAATGAACAAGATGGCGTTCAAAGCCTTTTTCATCACCGCTTTTTCTCAGACTGAGAGAGACAGCTGCCGAGCATCGGATGGGACCAGGCTTGGCAGACTAGATTTCTTTGATTTCCCCACCGTAAAAATGTACAGAATGTATTAGTATTAAAAACGTTTTAAAGCCAGCGGGGCTCCTGGCAGATGAATCCAATATGTGCACCTCAGATACAGGACAACATGGTGGGGAAGGGCTGTTGTACGTCTTGATTGTGAACCTGAATACCAGGGAACATGGTAACTATGATACATATTTGTATGGTTTATAAGAAATAAACATTTTATTTACATTTTTTTATTTTGAACTTAATGTCGGATTTGAAACATCTGTAACCACACCTCAGGGAAATGGGACATATTTTTCTCAGTCCTGACTAGAACTCAGTTAAATGTAACCGAATATCTTAACGAAATAATCTCTAAATAAAAAATATATAGAGGTTATGCTCGGGATTTAAGTGCAGTGATTTTTTTCCCCCCACATTATTTTCTTCTATCAAAACACAAATATATTTATTCAACTTTTTATTTGTAAAAACTTCACCTGTTCTGTGATGGCCACATGTCTTTTTGCCCGAGTTCATGTATATAAGGAGGTGTTTTTATTTCATTTGTTTGGCTATGCAGTTTATCAGTTTCAGGTAGGATTGAAACTGTGCAAATGTACAATGCCACTGACTTTCCTGATTACATTTACTTCTCAAGCATTGACCCAAAGCTCTCAATCTCTTTTTCAGATAACTTTTTTCTGTCAATCACAGATTGGTAACACCATAGCAGAGACAGCTCTGTAACTGCTGCCTCAGGTATGTCTCTCAGCTTCACTGGAATTTAAGATTTTGCTGCTGTGATTTATTAGATTGTTTCTTTGTGAATTACCCAGCCCAGGACTTGAGGCTTTTAGCCTGACCGCTCTCACTGTTTAATCCACTGCAGATCAAAGACATAGCATATACAAAGCACTGGGCAGAGTATGTTTACGCTTTTATCAATAGTGGTTTTGAGAACAACCTGTACGCACATCAAAGAGCACCCTTTCAAATCAAACTAAGCGTTAAACATTGTTCCATTTAATGTTAATCAGCTTTTGTGACCTGGATGTGATCCACGATGTACTGACACCCACGCTGTATTTGACGTTCTGTCCAGTGGCCCTGGTGGACAGTGATGGCATGATCAGCAGGCATTTCTGAAAAATTGTGTTGCTGTCTGTGTGATGATACAAGTGGTGTGAGACGAGCCTGTCTGAAAGCCTTCATGGCAGTAATGTGTGTCTGAAGGACATTTGTTCCTGGTTTGAACACTCAGAGCAGTCAGTAGGGTGAGTGTCACCACAACATAAGGACCATGTGTTTAAAACCTGAATCATTAGCCTTTTGCACCAGGAGGGGCGTCTTTTGTTTTTAAACAAGGATTTTCATCCAGTTGATCTGTATTTTTTTTAATCTGCAAGTGCAGGATATGAATGGGATTAAATTCTTAGTCTGTGGATTTCGCTGTCTGGGATTATCAGGCTTTGGTCAGTGATAGTGCTGATTTTTCTTCATCTCTGATATGATCCTGCTTTTAACTGTATGTCCACTAGGCTTCTTTAAAAGGCAGAGAAGTATTGAGACAAGCACCTGAAACATATGGACAGGCTGTTGGTAAAATGACCCAAGGTTTTCTGTTGAGTAGCCAGTTCTGTGCTCCACAGAGAAATGTATAGATGTGAAAACCATTCACAAGCACTATAAATACTGGTGTTGCCCCACTTTTTAATACAGTGACAAGGTGGAAAGTTAGCCACCGCCACCAGCCAAAAAAGCTGGTAAAATGTGAAAGTGGTTGGTAGATGTTACTACTGAGAGGCTGCTGAATTAGAATGTTTTAATAGGCAGATGTGACTGATGTTTGCATTTTGAAAAGTTAATTTACCACACCAATATACACTATGCACATGGTAAGGTAGATTTAGTAATAGCTACCCTCATGTAGCTCCCATTCAGCAGTGTGAAGATGCTCTAATGTCAACCAGTTCACTCAGAAACCCCAACTGGTCCCACAGGACAGCCAGCTGTCACCATGTCTTGGCCATTTGTTGTACATTGGTAAAAGCAGGTATTAACGTTACGGTTTGTTTCTCTGAGCACCTCGCTGCTTGTTCCACTGGATGGGTCTAATTGCTGGTATTAAGAGACACTTTGTTTTTCTGGTTAACAATAGACATCGCCACCAGTCTGTTTCGTGTCAGACTTTAAGTACCCCAGTCCTGTTCAGGGTGCTCTTGTCGACTGTGTGGCTAAATGTGCTGTAGGTAGCCTATGACTGGTTAGAAATATCTTTATGTGTGATTCTCCAGCACTGTCACTTATCAACCGTATATCAAATGTTCTGATTTTCCTGTCGAGAAAATGTTCCTACCATGATTGCTGGTTATATTGTTGGCATTGCCGAGCCTATTAGTAGCACTGGAAAAGAACTATTGTTGTTAAATAAAGCCCTAACTAGGGTATACATTGTCTAGCCAATGCGCTCTTAAACTAGCCTTTTGTTGTTTTACTGTCATGTGTTTTATTACATTTGTTTTGCTGTAGTACACAATGATATGGTTCAGCCTTATATGCTCCTGTGCAGTGAAGTGTGGTATTGATGAGCCCAGTGCTGTCTGAAAACTTGAACCTTAATGTATTATAATTATTTATTGAATGAAGTGTTCGGAGGCGGTAACACAGAATGTTCCAAACAAAGGAGGATGGGGATCAGAGGTCATTGCTATAATCTTAATAATGACTTCTGAGAGGCGTAGAGGATAGCATTTTATGACAAGGTGCCCCAACACTCAGTTTTCTGTCAGACATCTATTTTCCTTCCTTCTTATTCCATCATTTTAGGGTAACAGTTAGGTAAAACACACCCATGACAACATGTCTTCTGATACATGGGCCGTTGCTTCTCCATTGTTCTTTGCTCTTCAAGGCGTAGCTCTCTTCATCAACTAGTTTATTCTTGTATCTTAATTGAAATGGGCCATTAGTGGTGGCCAGTGCATTATGGCTTCCATTACTTTGCTCCTAGGTCTGGTGCATTGTGGTTGAGCAATTTAAATCCTTTTTCCTCTTCACCCACTAAGCTTCCTACTATACACAACTGAAACGGTTTCATCAGGGTGTGTTGCGCTTCTATAGGCAAATGTCAGGCGGAAGATTTTGTAATTGTAGCTCTCTGTTGCTCTGTCGCTTTTTTAACAATACCTTGGTCAGAAGCTCCAAGGACAGAGTTAGTCTGCTGGCAGCTGACTTTGATCTGTATACAGTGGTACTGATGGTCATTTTAACTGTATTAGATATGCGCACCATACACACCACACATCTGTTTGACACACACATAGTTACCACCAGTTCCAGGTCTGTGTTATTTTCAACCCCAAGTGCCGGATGACATAGAGTTAAACACTATTTTCAAAATAAAACTTTGTGTATTCTCAAAGGTTGTGGAATATGGGCAGTGGGTGCAAATGTCAGTGTACTCACAACCACAAGTCTGTCCCTCTACACAAGGACAAGGGAGAATTTGTGGGTTTCAGTGAGAGGGATGGTGCTGATAATAATTCCAACACTGAAAAACAAAATCAGTCAGCATAGGCTTTGATTGCACTGAAAGTCGCAGCTAATAATACAGGAGGAAGAGGCTCCTAGCTCTTTCCAACCACACGAACCATGGAACCTTTTTAGGAACTTTAGGGACTTTACTTGCATATCAACTGGCGGAACCGAGGTCTAAATTTAGTACCTGTGCCACTGTTGTTGTCTCACAGAAAGTCCCTGGTCCAGAGGTAGCACTTTCTAATGGCTCAGGAGCTAATATGTTTGATGTTTGCCTATTGGTCAAATACAAACCCAGAAGCTACTACAACTTGTGTACAGCATTCATTAGCCAAGTTTACTGACAGTCCTCACCAGTGCAGAGTCAGAACAGCCAGCCGTCTGGAGTCCTGCCTTGCACTGTCCAACATCGCGCTGCCCTCTGTTTCTATCAGGCTTCTTTGCTTCCATCCCAGTGTGCTGGACTGTGGTCATTTGGAGACTGTATACAGTGTATAGCCTGCTGTGCTGTTACTCCTGCATTGTTCTGTGTGTAATGACGCAGCTAAAAAACAAAAGTGCATTGATTCGACTCGGGCCTGGGTCTTCTCAGCTTTTAGGGGCCAGCCCTAATTGCATGAGGAATGTATTTCAGACACTGTAGAGTGTATTCTGCATTTCCAATCTGGGCCATGACCCCGAACATGACCGTTGGAGGTTTCTGTACATGCTGGTTACCTCACTTCTGTGCTACTGGTCAAGCATCACTGCTGACTGGGTGCTTTCAGTTATTCTTCTTCAATTCATCTGCGCATGTAGAGGTACTAAGGTCTCTGTGATAAGTGTCCCAATCTCTAGCACAGGTGCTAATAAACATTATCTGCACAGAGTTTTTCTCCACTCTTCAAGCACTGATTAATCCTGTCACGTCCACATCTAGCTAATTTTAATTGAATCGATAAATCTGTAGGTTAATCGGAAATGTGCACACACGCAACTAATCAAATGACCAGTTGCAATTGTACATTGGGAACGTGAATGCCTGTGAAAGTGAAAGTTGTGACTAGAGGCCTGAGAGCAATGCAGTGTTTCTTTAATTGCAAACCTGCATTTCTGTCTGTGAGAACAGGGCAGTTTTCATTTTGAGTGTAGTATACTTCTGGCCTTTCTGTGGACACTAGCTCGCTGTGAAGCCAACCACACCAACACCACTACTACCTTGAAGTGGCTGACACCAGGAGGTCCAACTTTATTTGAACACAAACAATCACATCTTCAGCACAAATTATTGTTTGCGCAGACAACACGTGATCAGCCACGTGTGCACTTACTCGTCCCATGTCAAGGTTTGTAAGGCAAAATACAGACAGTGTGTTTCTTTACCTTGACTCTAGAACAGAGGGCACACCAGAGGAGGACACTGGGTAGTTATTACACATTGCACTTACTTTTCCAGTGCACATGCTTCAAATATCTTTGAGCATAAAAACTAGCTTTTCTTTTAGGTGTGATTTCTCTCTCGTACCATACTGTTGGGATCCATGAAGTGTTGCACGATAAGCGTCTGTGTTTGAATGGGTCGTCACAAACCATGTCCCAACAGTTCTCCCAGCCACGTTTGAAGGAGGGTGTGACTCAGGTCAGCTTTTGTGTTAATGGGATCCTCAACACAGGTTGCCATCTGGTAACCTACATGGTTGTAATGTGATGTAACCGTCGCTCCAAATATAACAAATGGGTGTTTAATGATACTGACTTTAGCCTGTTAAAGAACAGACCCTCCAGATTGAAACAGAAAATGAGGACATGTTGGCAAGTGTATTCTAAAAATTTGACTTAAGTTTTACATGAACCTGATTTTACAGTGCTTTTGTTCAGTAACACACAAAACATCTGTGCTGCTGTTTGTTTTTGTTTTTCCTCTCCAAGCTAACCCAGGGTCCACATTACAGAAGTTTTCCCAGTGTGAAGATTAGCTCGTAGTTTGAGTGTAGGTGCTGTTATGGATACATAGCTTGTCATCACTGGCCAATAGGTCTTTGCCACTGCTTTGAATAGTCAAAGTAAGTGGCACCAGGGCCGCTCAGTGACCCACACACAAGCCTGTCACCACTCACTGTGTAACCCTGCCGAAAGCCCATCACAATCCCCAGTATTGCTTTGCATACGCAGCTCAGTGCCTGCTCTGCTTTGAATAGAAGACAGTTTCTCTGCCTATTTACATTCTAGCCCTTACATTTGAG